AGATAATCAGTTTCTAGAACTCCACTCTCAAAAATACATGAATATTCATCATCTCTGGTCAAAAAAATCGAACCAAACTAAAACATCTAGTAGGCTTTAAATAGCCAAAAAACAACCTGATGTGACTGAACCAAAAAAACCAAAAACAAAATAAGACACTACAACATTATTAGACTTCCAAACTGGTACGCAGGTCCAAATAAAGAATATACACATCATACACTTTAACTTTCAACACATTTACTCTTAATTTTTAATAAATTAAGATTCGGAGTTTCTAGGTATGGTTAGAAATTAGGATGAATTACGAATGGTACATAGCGTGAATGGCGAGTGAATCCAAATAAACAAATATATGTGAATGTGTGGTTGGACTTTGATTTGAGGGGAGTGGTTGTCACATCTGGAATATAAGAATCATATCTTTGAATAATTTTGCCACATCAATTATTCACCCTTCTTTTCCCTTTCGGACCAAAAGATTATTTTCATTTTAATTATCATCATCATCATCTTCTTCTTCTTCTTCTTGCTGCCAGCACGCACGTAGAATTATCGATGTGTGATCACAATATATACAAGCTTTAATTTGATACTTCGATTTCATTCCAAACTTTGCAATCAGGAACCTGATTCAATCTAACCCACCACCACCACTATATACCCATAATTATTGGCCTCTGTGACCTGGACCAATTTACCCAACTTATTCTTATTCTTATTACTATTATTTTGGGTCCTGAAAGCTCAACTAATAGAAGCGCTGGACTTAAATTTTCTTTCTTTCTTTCTTTTTTTGTACTTTTTTTACTCATAAATGAATAGAATGGGTAACATGAGCCAATCCTAACTATATAAATTGAAAAAAATATGAATTAGGTCGAGTTAAGTTTAACCCATGTTCTTGTGGTTAGAAAAATCACAATCCAACTCTAATCCTTAAAGGTTGATAGGTTGAATGGATTAACTAGCAAATCTTTTTTTATCCAATTTTTTTTCATGATTTAAAAAAAATACACCTAAATCACAATAAGTTCTGTTCCTTCATGATTTATTCTAGATATACTAATATTAACCCATAATATTTGTACAAAATATATGAATGGAGCCTACCAAACTAAGCCTTACCCATCAATTTATCAAAATCATGTGGTTCAACTCTTTTTATTTCCTTTGTTCTATTTTTTTAAAAATAATATGGGTTAAACTAGTCAAACTTAATCCATATGATTCATAAGTTATCTTGTCTAGGCGCAAAAATCTTGTTTTTATTTGGGGTCAAAATTTTCCCAACCCAACCTTTATTAATTATGATTGGTTATTTAAGTCAATTCATATAACAAAACTCATATGATCGGCTTTATTCAATGACTCTTTTATTTACTAATTTGGTTTGATATAGCTGATCTTCTCTGATTTGTGTTTTTAAAATATATTAAGTCATAATTTAGTAATTTCTTTTAAGGATAAACCCTCCATGTTGAACCTTTTACATATTATTTGAATTTGAATAAACAGTTCTGATTATCCAAAGAGTTCCTTTTTCCCCCCTCCGTAAAAATGGTGAGTACGTAAAAACATATGATGATTATATTTTGAGAGTGTGCCATAAAGACATTTGATTTCAATAATAAGCGATATATATAATAATGATAAAATAAATATGTCATGTGAGGTTTCTTTTTTCCTCTCTTGACTTTGATGCGCTTATCATCGTATCTCCCTTCAATTATTTTTCTGACCGCTTTATTAATCTTTTTTTTCCCCCGATGAAACCGCTTTTATTAATCTTGCTAATTGATTTATAAAACTGTGTCTGTTGTGAAATATTGTTTAAAACTCTATTAATTAAGATGGTATCTAGAATAAATTCCTTGACCATGATTAGATATAGTCCACGAAATCAATTCGTTTTATAATATGCCTGGTTATTAGCAGGTTTGATTTTCTGCTTTATTGAGGTGGCCGAACATGAAGTTTATAAAAAATACTACTGCACTATTTGGTAAGTTGGCTTTATATATGTATGCATGGATGTTTTTGAAAGTAGAATTAATCTATTTTATTATTTTTAGATAGACTAGATCAATATAATATATTATATATTTTTGAATTATAGCTAGCATGGGTGAGGTATGGATAGCATGTAGGTTCAAAATCTCCTAATGTAAAAAAATCACTTGTTAAGAATGTTAATTTTCTAGTTAATTAATAAAAAAACGTAGATATTATATTTTTTATTAGAAAATGTAAAAATCCATAGATAATGTGACACATATTCATTTAAAAATCATGCACTTTATGCTTATAATAAAGTAAGTCCAATATACTAATTAAAATTCTTAATCTTTTTGATGGAGTGTAAAATTCATAAGAGATGGGCTAGCAAAGGAACTACTACTAACGTGTAATCTCTTTTGGGCAATGTTATTAGTTTTTACTCAAAAAAAAAAATCTTAATCCTTTGATGAAGTGTAAAATTGCCCAAATTTCTGGCTTCAGAGAGTTGCTAGTTATAGTGATTAACTCGAACTTCTAATATTTACCTATATTTATACATCTTAATGTTTTAAAATTATGAAAAACATTGTATTATTTATGTGAAATATAGTTTTATAAATAGTACTAGCCTTGTCGTGTGTTTGTTATTTTTATTACCTGCCATGAGAAAACTGTTAATTTTTCTTTTATTGAAAAAAAATTAGTTCCAGTCGAATTTAATGTTGATGAAATCATCATGTTAATATTTATTTGTAATAATCAGATCCATCAAATTATTTTCATTATCCAATTTTGGTAAAACCATGAAGAAAGAAAGAAAGAAACATGCCATACTGAGCGCATGAGCATTGACTCATAAGTTGTCCCTTGTAAAGGCCTTCCTTTTCCGAACTAGCAGCCACGCGAAAATGTCCAGTTGTTGAAACCACGACAGTAATATGAACTCTCTTTTTTAAAATAAAAAAGGGGAAAAAATCATCATTGTGATTTTTATAATCAAAGGCCCATTTCAACAGTACTGTATTGTACCAATAAGTCGTTTTAGTGCAAATCAAATTGAGGAAGCTGCTTTTATCAGCAACAAGTCCTGCAAGTTGCTCCTTCCTCATGACATGGCATTTACTTCCACACACACGCCTCCTTCAAGTTGCTTCTTTCACAAAAGAATTTTGTCTGGCCAAAAATAATATTAAAATTACATATACTATGTGTTTTTTTAAGAGGTTTCCCAATAAAAATAAAATAAAAAAATTAGGACTTGTTTAGTTTTTGTTTTTAAAACAAAAAAAATTAAAAAACTTGTTTGAATAAGTATTTTAAATTTAGTTATTTCTAAAATTATAACAAAAAAATAAAAATATTTTAAAAATATTTCATTTTATTTTTCTTGTTTTCAAAATGCGTTGCATTTGATTATAAAAAAATATAGCTATTAAAAATATAATTATTTTGATAATGATTATTATAAGTCATTATTGAAAATAACTGATTTTTAAATTTAAAACTTTCTACATAGTAAAAATATTTTTTATTTTTAAAAATTATATTATAAAAGAGTTTTTTAAAAAAAAAAAATGAAATAAAAATTAAACATTCTCTTATTTTCATGGCTTGACGATAAAACTTTATAATCATTCTTCTAATTATACTTGGGAGAAAAATGAAAGCAGAATTTGCTTTCATAAATTGATTATGGCATGGTGCTTAGCTTGCAATCCTAATCAACAGCCTAAAATTCACAAATTGCTCTAAAAAAAAGGTAAAAATACTCATAAAGTAGTCAGCCACAAATACTTAGTATTCTAAAGTGATGAAAAGAATAAAAATACCCAAATGTTATATGAGTGGGTGCAAAAATAATCAGATCGTTAACTTTAATCGTTTAAATGCTGACCGGGCATGCCACGTATCAGCTTTTGCTGACGTGGATTAATAAAGGAACAAAAATACCCATGAAGTCATCGGTCAGAAGCAAAAATATCGACAAAGTCGTAGGTTAGGAACAAAAATACTCATAACGTTATCAGAGTTGGTGAAAAAGTAACCAATCTATCCAATCCCTTAAATGTTGACCGTTTAGTTGATGCCTAAGTAGAAGTTGAGTAACTTTTGTTGATGTAGACAAAAAATATTCCTGGATAAAATTCTCTAGAGGTTAATTGGTTATTATATGAATGTTATGTAAAAAATATTATTTTGACTGAATATCAAATTAAATTACTTGTTTCTTTACAGTAGTAGCAAAAACCATTTGAAAATTTTAAACCTATCAAAAATGTAATTGCTTAAGGTTGTGAAAATGTTCTTAAATTGGATGTACTCAGTCTCGATCTTTGATTTTATGCAACTTATCTTATTATGTTGAATCTCAAATTTTCCAAACAAGAAAAATAGGTAGAGAGGAAGAAAGGAAGGGGGTGAGATACATGGTGATGGAAAGAAATCATGTGACATTGATTTTAATGAATTAGTCACTATTGCATTTATTAAAATAATATTATGGGTACTCATATGATGATCGATTAACATTCATAAAAATTTATCTAATAATATTTTTATCTACATCAATAAAAAATAGTCAACTTCTACTTAGGTATCAACTAAATGGTTAACATTTAAGGGATTGGATGTATTAATTACTTTTCACCAACTTTGGTAATGTTAGCAGTATTTTTGCTCCTGGCCGATGATTTAATGGGCATTTTTTTTCCTTTTATTAGTTCATATTAGCAAAGATTGACATGTGGCATGTGCATTCAACATTTAATGGTCAAAGTAAACAGTGTTAAGTCTAAGTTAACGATCTGCTTATTTTTATTTTCATTCATGTAATGTTACAAGATATTTTTTTTTTTTTTTACTTTAAAATATTTGACGCCTGCAATTGATTATTTTATAAGTATTTTTGCCTTTTTGGCAAAAAAAAAAAAAAAAGTCTTGCTGAAGTGGATTATGCCATTGTCCACCTCCTTGAAGCTATAATCATTGAGCTTCTTTCTCTTCCTACACGTCCTCTCTAGAAGCTGTTTTCTTACCCTGTGTGAGTGGTTACTGATTATATAGTTTAGTGAGGATTCTGTGGAGGAGAAGCAAAAAGCAATCTCTTTGTTTGCTCGCATTAGATTTGGGTTCCTTTTAAAGCCATCGATCCCCTTATCACAGCATATATATACCAAAAAAAATAAGAAGGTTTGTTTAGTTCTTTGTAGGAGATAGAGAAGAGAGAGTGCGATAATTTTCCGCTTTCGGGATTGAAGTTTCCATGAAATGTTCTTCATGTCCGAGAGTCTGTTTGCCGAGGGAGAAAATATCGAAGAAGGAGAGGGGGAGAAAGAAAGATAAGAAGAGCAGAAACCCAGAATCCAGAAGTTTGGAAACGGGAAGATAAACACCAGATTCGATCTATTTTGGTCCGTTTCTACTGGTAATAATCATAACATACGATGAAATCTCCGTTTCTTGATCTTTTCTTATAAAGTTTCATGCTTTTTCTTGTTTTCTAGCGTTCAGAAACAGTCCTTTTTACAGATCCGGAAAGGACTGCCTTTTCTTCATTGATCAGAACACAAAATTGTTATTCACGGTTGATGATGTGAATTTTGAACTTGCTTCCTTTTCGAACAGAAAATTGTCAACGGGTTTTCTTGGTAACCAAACTGAGAGGCTTTTCTAACTTTTCTTGAAAGCTGTTATTGATGATGTGAAAATCATATTTATATTGGGTTGAGCAATATTGTTGATTTATTATAGTTAGTGTGTCTGACATAAATATTCTAACTTCCATGGTTTTTTCTCTCATCACAGGGCCGCTGAGCAATGTCTGCAACTATAGTCAGCGATCCGGTGGTTATGTCAAACCCAGAAATTCAACCAGTGTCTAATAATACCATACTAGTTTCTGCACAAACAGAAGTTGAATTTGCAATCTGTGATTGCTGTGGACTGACAGAAGAATGCACACCTGCTTACATAGAACGAATCAGAGAGAGATACTATGGGAAGTGGGTTTGTGGGTTGTGTGCAGAAGCTGTAAAAGATGAGATCTTGAGGTCTAAAAGGCTTATCAGTACAGAAGAAGCCATGGCAAAGCACATGAACTTCTGCAAAAAGTTTAACACTTCAGGGCCTCCTCCTAATCCAACAGTGCATTTGATCTCAGCCATGAGACAGATTCTTAGGAGGAGTTTGGATTCTCCGAGGGCGTTAAGGTTAAGATCCACACCGAGTAGTCCAACTAAGATGTCTGACACAGAAATTCATGGCGCTCCTGGTCTTACCAGGTCTGAAAGTTGCATGCCTAGTCTGTCTGCTTCATGAAGGCTTCTATGCTGAAAGATGAATCTTCTGTGCTATTCATCTCTCAAGTGTTGTCTTTATCTTTCTAGAAACGGCACTCTCACTTCCTAGAAACTGAGGGGATCCAGATCTGTATATGGGATGGGGGAAAACAAGAACAGGACGCGACAAGAATGGGAAATTGAACATGAACTTGTACTTGATTGGCTTAAAATGGATGATGAGGGAAATAAGAATGAACTCAATTAAAATTTTAGGCTTCAAAGTAGATGTTCAATTGTAGTCATCTAGTATAGTAACTTTAAGTCAGTTGTCATCAGAAGTTTCATATTTCCTAAGAAAATTTTGCTTCACTCCTAACACTTGTTCTGTTTCCCTCTCACTTCACTGCTTTCAAACTCTGAGAATTAGAGGCTAGCACCTCATAAAACGTGCAGCGGGTGAGATATGCATGACTGGACCAAGGCAACACCATTACCACTTGTGGAGATCAACACAGAGACCTGAAAGTTACCTAATCTTGTGTTCAATCAAAGCCGTCATAGATTTATACTATAACTTTATTAACTCATTCAAAAAACATTCTTTTGTCTGTCAAAATGCAAGAGCTTAACACGGAATAAACTAATCTTTGGTTATATTGGGTTGAAGATAAATGATGATATTGAATTGTATGAGTCACAGCATAGATCAGTATTCACTGGTCTGTTTTGCTGGTCGGAATGAGGTAAGCAGCTTCTGAATTATCTTTTCACTTGGATTGAGCACTTCAATTGAAGGCAACTGTGTTAATATTTCTCAAACAATGAAAGAGATAGAACGTAGAGATAAAGACAAGTTGTTCTCTCTTTTTCAGAAAGGGTTTAGGTTAATGCTCTGATCCTTCTGTAAGGCATCCCCTCAAGTTGTTCTTATGCCTAGTAAAAGACAAAGGGGAGAAAATTAATAAGTAGGTGGTTAGAACAATGATAGAGATCTTGAAATGTGGAGAAACCTGAAACTGTGATTCAGACATATATGATATAATCTTAAAATACAGAGAAGGAAGCGTAAATCAAGGAGTGTTGGCAAGTATGACAAAAAATGAAGCTAGGCAAGCTAAGTTGTCTGGTGCAATTTTGTTGGTAGATCTTGCAGATATGCATCCCTGGTTGTGATAATTATTGATATCGTATTAAATAATATAAAGAAGGAAAGCGAGAAAGGCACATTCTTGGATGGGTATGTCGATGGAGACATGACTTAGAAACAAAATAATAATGGACACTAAAAACCGTACAAAGAGGGGCCATCATACATGATTGTATCCTCACAAATGGTAAGTGGTTGGACAGTGTCATTCTCATCTCAGCCTCACCTCCGTGATTTCCATTGAAGCTTTCTTCAGATGTCCCCCCCCCCCCCCCCGCCTCTCATAGTGCACGAGGGTCATGACAACTCGGATATGAACCATCCCAATCTTTCGATATAACACCATTCTTACTCTCTTATATGTTCCTAATTTTCTTACTATATATAACCTTCCCTTTCAACTTTTCTCCTAGTTGAGAACCTTTACGTATGATGATTCTCAAAGGATGCTTTAAAAGCATCTTTAAATTATAGTTTAATGTGAGATAGAAGGGTGTAGTGTTGTCCCATGTAGCTCCATTGCCACATGACTCGAGTTAATTTCTTGCGTCTATAGACTAAGACTATGTTGTTGAACAGAGCAAACCATGTTTTTGACAATCTGATTAATGAATTCTGGTTAAATGGATCCCACGATTCATTATTGTGAATTACTTCTCGTTTTTTTTTTATTATTATTATATAGGTGCTTGACAATAGAACAAGAATCATTTTTCCAAGCACATGTAGGAAGCCTTGTCTTGTTCAGTTTTTCTTATGGTAAGTGATGAGACTTTATCCCTATGTATATAACAATTATGTAATAGCTATATCTATGGTTGTTGCCCGAATAAAAGCATTTCGCAACTTCCGATTCCTTCAGATTATAATGCAGAATGAGATTCTCCAACTCATAATTATCTGTTTTTTCTTTCGTTTGACGTCCAACGACATGAGTGCTATCTTATCAAGGTTTAATGTGGCTTGGAAGATAAACATTCTACAACAAGGGCTTATGTTTTACACCACAAAAAAAAAAAAAAGGCTCGAACTTTCATGGTTTATAAATATTATATACTATTTTATTAAATTTTATATATTGTATATGTATGTAGGTACATCGATCTTTCAATTGCATATATAGTTAAAAAAAGAAAAGGGGGGGTGTATATTTTTTTTATCTCTTTGGAACTACATTAATAAAGTCAATATATGGCCACAATAAATATATATATATATATATAAACTAAATGGTTTGAGAAAGAGCATTGTTTTCATTATTTCATATATATGTTAAACTAATTAATTATGATATTTTAAAGTTCCATCTTTATCAATGACTGTGCAATCTAATGACATGAAGTTTATACTTGTTGGTGACAAGTCATGAATTCAATCCTGCCAGCAGCTAAAATATTTAGCTTGCTCGTAGCACTAAGAAAATTCCATCTTTATTATTTCTTTTATTGGTTCATTCAAAGAATGTTTGCATCAAAGAATCACATAGTATCATTTTTTAAAAAAAAAAAAGGGTACAGTATATCTTTAATTTTTAACTTTATATAAAATTTTATTTACAATTCCTTAATTTTATAAAGTATTTGTTTAATTTTTTAATCCTATCATCATTTGTTCGTTAACAAAAAATTTATATATTAAACTTTTAAATATTAATAAAAAATTCTCAAATATTTACATATTAAATTTAATTTTTAAAATGATGATTATTGACACAAATTATAAAAATCATTTGAAATTGACGGTGTTAGGGTTAAATGACTAAAAAAATACTTTATAAAATTAAAGAATTAAACTAAAATTTATATAAAATTAAATGATCAAGAGTAAACTTTAACCTTTTAAAAAAAATTTTAACAAACTTATACTTGGAATAATAAAATTACAGAAGAAATCCTCTACAGACTTCTACACAATGTCGTCAATATTTATTGTTAAGGAATATGCCAGAATATATAGGAGAAAAAATAATTGTCAAATGAAGTTACATACGTCATTTCATGAAGGAAAGATCTGGGTTTCCCACATTGATTTGTCAACTTGCTAATTGCAAGTTAAACCCAAGAGAGAAAATTCTTGAAAACAATGAGGAACACGATATAGATAGATAGGAGTGGACTATCGGGATCCAGGTGGGATGAAAGGTAATATAATATCAGAAAATGGACTGTCTCTTTCTTTCCAAATTAAATTAACCATCCCGACAAGCCACACTCTCCCACCAATCCTATAGGCCCTTCCTTACATGCAAAGTGGTTTTACCTAATTTCTTCATTATTATATTAACACCACCTTTCTGCGTTTTGTTCTTTGGGGACCAATAATCATGATTAGTGACGGAGCTTGATTAATCAAAAGTGGATTAAAATAGCCTCATCGACCTTTCTTCTTGACTTTGTCTTGTTTCGAATGGCTTATTAATTTTTGCTTTGTCTTAACCCAATCAGGACAACTATTAAGGCTATATTATTCTATTATTCTATTATATATGTTGCCGTGATTGGAGGTTCTTAACAACTATATTATTCTTTCTCACTACACTTTAGCTTCACGATTATGTTACTGCTTTTTGCATGACATGGCTTATAATTAACAAGGTCCACACAACCTGTTCTATTATTCATTATAGCATGATATGGTTGGGAAGAAAAAAATAAAGGAAACTCTTTTTTTCCTCTTAAGGTTTGATAATAAGAAGTCTTAGGTTGGAATTTTCATTTATGCCAGAATAAGTCCAAGGATGAATATATCTTCCTTAAAATACATGGCAAGGCTGAGGATTAGTTTTTGCCTTCCATGACACAAAGTCCAAAAAAAAAAAATTGGATTGCACTGTGATTTTGCACTATATACAAAATCAACGGATCGAGTTAGGTAACTTCTAATTTAAAAAAAAATATTAATTATTAGTGATAACTTTTTGGATCAGTAACAATTACATAGTGTAGAACTGTAGATCTCAACTCACATCCCACTTACCCCCCGTATTTTTTTTAACAAATCATATTTTAATTTAGTGCTGAAGTTTGTAGCATGTAATTACTTTTATCACTCTTGAGTAATTACTAGGAATAATTAAATTTTTAGTTTTTTAAATTTATTTTAATTATTGATTTGATCTTTAAAGTTTACTTTTTATCAATTAAGTCTTTAAAATTTCATAATCATAATAACTAATTCTTATGATTTGAAGGGAATGTATATATGGTGACTTACAAGAATGGATGTGAATGGAAGATCCCCATGAAGGTAACTAATTCATCAACATTTAGGTTGATGACACACAACAAAAAAACAGCATAAATTATGTCGCTAATCCGTCACTAATTTCGTCGCTAATATTAGCGACAAAATTAGCCATGAGTAATTCTGTCACTAACTTCTAGTATAACCCATTTCTATTTGGCGGCGGGCTTGTCGACGGAATGTTCCGTCGCTAATATAGCAATGGAATTATTCTGTTACAAACAAGTTATCGCTATTTTGTCGCTAATTTATTTCCCACAGAATTAGATGAAATATTTTTGTCACTAAATTTCATGGGTAATTCATCAATAATTTATTTACTACAAAATTAGTGATGGAATATTTTCATCACTAAATTTCACGGGTAGTCCGTTGCTAATTTATTTCCCATGAAATATATTCTATTGCTAAATTACATAGGTAATCTGTCGATAATTTATTTCCCATGAAATCTTTCGTCACAAATTCTATTGGAAAGTTATTCCATCGCTATTCCATGGCTAATTCCTTCAATAATATATTTTTTTATTAATTTTAATATATATAATATTTTATTGTTTTAATAATTTGAGAAAATAGTTAATTGTAATCTAGCATATCCTTACTTGCATTTTGTCTCTTTTTTCATAAATACTAATTTGTGAACATAGATAGTTTATGTACTTTCAACTTTATCATATCACAATCATAATAAATTAATTCAAGACAATGATAATGTTGCAAGTTCTCTATTACCTTCTTAAGTGCATACAGCTTATAAACCCATGCTGGATATTTATTTCAAAGTTATTCCATTATTGATTCAAGGGAAAAATTACTACTGGTCCATGTCCTTATATTTTTTAATATAACTAAAAAGATGATGAGATGGAAATAATTGTGTTAAATATGTTATCATCCACCCTCTAGCACATTACTAGTGGAATTATAATTTAGCATATTACAACTGTCATCCATCCTTTTTGTTTCATGTTTTATGTTTTAAT